AAAGTACGTGTACATATTCATCACTTATTTGGTATAGAACACAAATTCTGGATTAGACAGACATTACGTTTACAGAAAAATTCTATTAACAATTAAAATTATCACTTTTATCTTAGTTCCGTTATTCGATAGTCTAATGTAATGTAATTAATAATTATCTACCGTACATGTTACAAATTTGTGACAAAATCTTTTGTCAAATTAGGTCTATTTTAAGTTATTAATTATTCATCACAGTTGTTAAAGAGAATAACATTTCTTGAGAAAAAATCAATTCAATTCGTAAAAAGTTTACAAAAATACACTTATTCCATTCAAAAGGGCTTCCCCAACATTGGCTTCCAATTTATAATATTTATTAAGACCAGAGAATGTTTTCTACAAATATTGAAATAACGTGACCGTTAGAAAATATTAATTTACAAATATTGAAATAACGTGACCGTTAGAAAATATTAATTTTTTGTAACATTGAAATTATATCTATATCCAAAATTCCTAAATAAATGAAGAGTTAAAAAAAATATTGTCTATTGTCTTGAACTGGATTTTGTTACGGACCCGGTTTCAAGGCCAAGTGTGCCAAGACTCGGCGTGGGCCCCAGTTAGGGCGCCGCTCTTATTAACTTATAAGTCGTCCTAATTTGGGACCTTAATTCCCTGTTTTACGACATCTCCCTAAGTTAAGGTTAGGATCCCTTGGAAACGGGTAGCGTAGTAGATAAGCGTGCTGCAAGGACTGCATTGGCGCACCGCAGTCACATTGAGTTAGTCTGGCATCTCTAAACCCATATTTGCACATCTTGTCTCTCAGTGAATTCAATAACTTCCACACTGACCACCGTAATGCTTAACCTGGTAATAGTTGCTCTTGACAACTAATTCTTATTAGAAAGCAAGATAACTGGTTTCGATATAAAGCATTCTAAAGTCTATATTTTTTGAACATGGCGTAAAATGACACTTGTAAGGTTTTCGTAAAACTTTATAGTCATGTAGTTGTTGTCGACTGTTTTATCGATAGATTGTGAAAGTAGGTAAATTTTGCCAAAAATGAATGTTACGACATTCTAATGATTATTAATTGCGTTTATTCTTTGTTCTTATTTTGACAGTAGGTCTATTAATCAAAATCAATTTTTAGTCATACACATTTTAATATCAACAGCCGGCTTTGATTGATATTAAATTAAAAACTTTAAAATATGTATCCGGTTTGTATTTTTAATAGATATCTATATTCAGTGTATGTATGAATGAATTTTCAAAAACGAACAATTCATATGAACCTGTGCCCAGCAGTTGGATGTGTAATGGGCCAATGATGAATCAAATGAAACAAGTTCAGATATTTATTTATCTCATAAGCTTAACCAACATTCAGTCGATAGTCGATATAATATTTATCGACTGCAATCACTAACTTGCAAGCGGGCAACCGCTGAAGAAGGAAAGGAATGGAAATGGCATCAAGCAACATTTATATCAAAACCGGTGTCGCCACACGCACACATTTGAAAACGTAATCTTACGTTAGTACTAAGATAACATAATTTTGATTGGTTGTAAATTATCAAACGAAAATAGACAATAATAAAAAGTTTTGGTAAAAAAATGGAAACTTATTTGGATCTAATAAGGTTTTATTATTACTAGTCACATAAAAGCCAAGAATCCTAAGAACATAAACTTCTTGGAACAAAAGCAAAAAGTTGACAATCTACAGATAGGGATGTGACGTAATTGATATCGACATTATGTTTCATTACTAGCGGAATAATGAACTAGGCATTGCTTGATACTTGCTATAACTAGGGTTAACCACGGAGTATATGGAAAAGGCATTTAAAGCAATATCTTCGAGAACTAGCGTAGCTGACTTTTACGTGCACACATTTGTTACCAAATACGCATAAGGTTTTGCTACACGCAAATATTAATTGATATTAGCTACGCAGGCGTGTGCGAATACGTGGCTACATGCTACAATCACAATATTATTGATTTATTATACTGTCATCGTACTTTCATTAACCTACTAGATTTCAAGTCAATCCGATCACTGGGAGGGTTGAATATTAAAACACAGTCATCATAAAAATCTTTATTCTCTCTGAAATATGATATATTTGTTCAAGAATTACCTCTTTCTGAACTGATTTAATATGACAACACCTATAGCGTCGACGAGCTTGTCGAGAAAATACTATATACTATATATATATAATAAAGATACTTATTTCCGAAGGCGAAGAAGTGAATAATTTGTTTCATGAAAACTTGATGAAAAATAACTGACAATGCTTAATGCAACCAATTAATAACAATATGCATTGGTTGTTAGCCATCGCAACAATTTCTTCAATTGATTTCAATGCTGTTTCCATATACTCCGTGGTTAATCCTAATTATAGCAAGTATAAAGCAACGCCTAGTTCAATATTCCGCTAGTTATGAAACATAATGTCGATATCATTTAAGTCACATCCCTATCTGTAGATTGTCAATTTTTTACTTTTGTTCCAAGAAGTATATGTTCGTAGGATTTTAGCTTTTACGTGACTAGTAATAATAAAACCTTTTTAGATCCAAATAAGTTTCAATTTTTTTACCAAAAGTTTTTTATTATTGTCTATTTTCGTTTGATAATTTATAACCAATCAACATTATGTTATCTTAGTACCAATGTAAGAGTACGTTTTCAAATGTGTGCGTGTGGCGACACCGGTTTTGATACAAATGTTGCTTGATGCCATTTCCATTCTTTTCTTTCTTCCGTACGTACCAATACTTACCAAGTCACTGACGTGAAGATATTAAAGTTGTACAGAATAGCTACAGCTTTCGTCCTCAAGTTCCAAATAACTCCTTTTGTTATTCTATTACTACTGAACTTTTGGTAAATATTTTCAACTTTATGATTATGAGTTGTACGAATGAATGACGACGTAGTAGGAAACGACGCGTGCGCACCGTTCACGCGTGAACAATAAATCGTGTCATACACGTGGTTAGAATAGTAAATAGTGATAACGTTTCACTGCAAAAATATAAACATAATTGTGTTTCAAATGAAGACTACAAAATTTGCAACGTATGTATACATTGTATTATTACGACACGACAGCTTACAAGTGAGACAGGCAGAACTAACGAATCTGCATTCAATATGATTCCCACACAAATTCTTAGCAGTTTTACCTGTATACTTTCAGACCATAATACCTACCTGCATTTGCCACCTGGCATGACTTTTAAACATATACAAAAGCCAATGCCCATGCCTGCTACTGGCACATAACCGTGCTAAGTGCAGGCATTGATTTTTTGACCTAATCTGTTTGAGACATGTCTGTCATGGTTAGGGTTACTATTATGAAATGTGAATAGTCAGGACAAAAAACCTTAGATATGCAAGAAAGTCCGAACTTTTTAAAAACAAAATGAGCGGGAAATATTTAAAAACATGTTGACACTGAAAAATTCCAGAAGAAGAGTTGAAGCACTCGAAATGTTGTCAAAATTCTCTCAAAGACAAAGAGTCGGTGACATATATCACTCTGGCATTTCATACCGTAAAACAGCTATGCTGATGAAACTAAAGGAACATGGAACTTGTCAACTTATGTCTCAGGGTGACGGGCGCAGTGGCAATGCACTTCAATTATAAATAAAGTATAAAACAAAGTTAGCGTAGTGTTCATAGGAGGTATCGATATAGAGAAATTTGTTAGACCTGCTGTTTGATTTCATAGCTCAATTGGGAAAGCAATAGCCCCGGTCTGGCAAACTGTCGCTGATCTAGCCAGATTGAAGCCGAATCTCTGTGTTTGTTCCTCAGATTACAAATTGTTTTGTAATCTGAGAATCTTTGCGATTTAAAGCTATGAGTGGCACTGCAACTATTATGGGCAGGTGTGTCGCTTACCACCAGATGCACGATGTGTTCGTCCGGTCACTTGGTGTCATAACAAAAATAAGGAAAACATCATCAACAAAAATACAAATCGATGAATTGTCTGGCAGTCTCATAAGAACTAATACGAATTCGAATATTACCAGTTGTATTCCTTGTGCTCGGACGATAAAAAAATTATTCCAACAAAATAATGATTTTTTTCATGCTCCACAAATTATAGGTTATAAAGTTTTTAAAAGTTTCTGTATTGCAAGACTACCAGAGCTACTGCGCATTTGCGAATATGTTTTTGCCATTCAAGCTCAAAATACTAGTATGGACAGTACTTTAGTAAGTATATGTATAACTTTATTTTATATTAACATTTTATGCATTTTTTTGTTTCAATCAAAATTTGAGCCATCATGTGCGAATGCGTTAGGTTTGGAAATAAAATATTTTGACAATTCTTCAATCTTTTTTGTTTTTGAAAATTATTACCCTAATCGAAGGTCAAAACGCTGGATAAGTCCGAACAAATCCGGAGGAATGGCAACTCTAGTTGTGGTCACCTTTCTCGTTCACATTGTCAAGTATCACCCGTTCTCGTGCAAGCAAATATTCGTACAAACGGAAGGTGATTACAACAAAAGTAACACAATTTATCCCATTAGCTGACCCATTCACTATTTTAAAACTATTGTTTAAAAACATAATAGTGTCTTTTCTACAAAATCAAAACAAATCATTGTTGAGTATAGACACAGGTTGCCGTCGTTACGGCGTTTTTGAAATACAAACATTACTCCACTAGTTTCTTGTAATACAAACAATTAATACAAAGATGGAACACAAAGAAAAATTCCTTCAACCTAATAGGACCCAAACCTGCGTCTTTGGCCCCGTTTTGGTTCTGATCTGTTCGATCTTTGTATTAATAATTGGAACATTCTAATTAAACTTTTTTAATATATACACAAAGTATCTAAAATGTTGGTTTTGGTAAAAAGCGAAGCTTGATCATAAATCTTTATTGCGGGGAAGAGGTTCAAATATAAATTTAGATAAGAATACTGTTCAATATTACTTCCAGGTGTATCATTTCCTTGATCCCTCGACAACGCCAGTGTGAATGATTGTCACGCTTGCGTCTCGGCTGCTCCGTAAATACTGCATATTATCAGTAACGGTGTTAGAATCGGCCTTAGAGCCGGAGACACCAGCCGCTAGCCGCCAGCAAAGCCGCGAGCGCCAGGTGAAAGTCAGACGCACACCTCGTTTTGAGAGACAAGCACGCCTGTATCGATGATTTCGTATTCTATCTGTGACTTTGTAAATGATAAACGCTAATAAACAAACAAAAGTGTTCGGTTTGCCGATGTGCGATCGTGCTGCTACGACGACGACAACAGCGCGTCACAGTCGCGATCAACGGAGCGCATTCGAAGCTGATCGCCTGATAGTGTCGTGCGGAGGCGCGGGACCGCCGGCAGCGCGGGCGCACTGGCGCTTCCACTCAGTCGCGACCATGTTGACATCGTGCGCCGTCGTAGTCCTAGTGGCAGCGCTCGCCACCATCGCCAGCGGCGACATCGTGCCACCGAAAACGATAAACACGTGGTGTTTACCTGCCGAACAATTCTACATAGACAAGATATTCGACAAGTACGGAGATAAAGGAGTCATCACGTTTGAGGTGAGTGCTTAGTTTTTATTTTATACCCAAAAATAAAACTCTCCAAAAAGTGCACATTTGCAAAGTGTAATTATCAACAGTTGAGTTTAAAGTCTTTAAATACCCAAGTGTACAAAATATGACATTGGATAACAAGAATACGACACCGACCACTCGATGACCAAACGAAAGTTTACTTTCTAATTTTACAGTGAGAACATTTCAATTATTAATTATAATTCGTTATGCGCTCTTATATTGACATAAAATATTTATCGAATATAAATTATTTATCTGCTTATTTTAATTACTTACCAAGTTTCCCTTCCAACGTTTTCTGGTTATTTGTTAAGCTCCTATTGGACAACTTTTCTTGTTTCGTAAATTGAAGTTCATCGAACTAATAGTGCATTTCCCAACTTACTTACATATCAAGACGCTTCCTTATCTAAATCGAAAAATACCTGCTTATCGATGTTTGGATAAATATCGTTATAGCCACCAATTCTCTGATTGTAAACGTGTATTTAGTTCATTTTCGGCTGAGTAGTTACGCTAAGAATCTAATTTCATATTATAATATGGTCACTTTTCAGTAATAGAAATGTAAGAATAATAGTAATGTCATACTATTGTGTGAGGTTTTTATATATATAATTTTTCATTGTCACTGAAACCATCGCTTGTTTTAAAGTAGGTAAGCCCTATTATACTAACGTGGGAGAACTTGTGCCGTTTGGTCTATAGTAAGTACATCAATGAACCGTACTATTGTACAATTGCATTAGACACGTTCGTTTTGTAACAATGTATTAAAATACTTCACAATTTGCCTGCGATGTACCTACGCCGTTTGTAGCTATATGTAGTTATCCGGAACGAATCACTAGAACTCAGTATAGTTAAACCGGAAGTTGCGGATTCGAGTCCCGAGCGGCGACAAATTTGTAAAGTGGACCTCGCTCGACTGGCTCGGTTTGATTAGATAACTACTTTCGTAGTAGTACCCGAGAAGTTACTTCTCGCCTATACGCACACTTGTTTTCTGGAAACGATAGTGACATAGTATAGGTAGAATGTAACCTCCCCGTGTGATGTAATTTTTAATGAATACTTCCACTGACAATGAAAACTTTAATAAATCAGAACCTGGAGGCGGTCTTTGTAATTGTATTTGTAATTTGTTAACTGCCTCCGTGGCCGAACGGTTACCACGCTGGTCTGCCACGCAGAGGTTCCGGGTTCGATTTTCGGGCTCGGAAAATGCGTTAGTTGAATCAGTAGCATGCTTGCAAGGTTGTCAACACATTAGACTGCGACATATTATTAGCACGATGTGTAATCAGGCTAGCTAAAGCGTCAAAAGGTTCTGAAGTATAATCATGCTATGTAACGATGCAAAAATTCTTTGGCCAAAGCAAAGGGTCCCCTTCCGCCAGTACCGCTTCATTTGGGTAATACACCGACAAAACTTAAAACCCCCTAAATTTACACATATATCGTTTATTTCAACTGCCTCCGTGGCCGAATACGGGCCGAGACAAATATTTGTATGGCCTACATTTATTTCTCTCGTGAGTTTGGGTAATTTGTAGTGGTCCATTTGTGTGTCCATGACATCCACGATACAGAGTTTGATGTGACAGTGTGTGTGTGTGCGATATTTATTTATTTATTATTTATTTCGTCTGAACGTAACATGTACTGGTAACAGGATTCAGGAAACATTAATGAGACTGCACAAACACATTACCGCCTTCTGTTTGCGAAATCTTTTATGATCATAAATAACTTGACAACCTGTCAAGTTAACAATGCTATACCTACAAGTATGTTAGTCGATATGCAAAGTGCCGCTTTGTTCCAGTTATGTGAGATTTCGTTGACTACGCTACCAGAAAGTACAAAAAGATCATTTATCAATGAAGTTTACTGTTCTTTTTCTTGTCCAATCAACGTGTAAACTGTCTCCAATTGAGTCATATTTTACATACGTAATAAATACTTACGCATAACGTACAAAAATAAGATCAAGATTAGTGTTCTGCAGTTAAACTCAAATGCTTTTAGCCAATGATTCTTGCTGCTGATTAATCGATGGATACTTAGATAAGCTGATAATTAAACCTAACGCTCTGACTACGTAAATATGTTGTCTAGGGAATTGTTGTTCTGACAAAAACATTCAAGAATCTATCTATAAAGCCGCGTGTTTCTTGGAATCATTTCAAATCGTACTGAAGTTGCTAAAAATTTGAATGAAATAAATTTATTATAAGTTACACTCCATAAACTCTTCAAAGAGATATGAGATATCAACTCATATTTAACTGTTGTGGTGGACCCAGTAATGCAGGATTTCTTAACCTGTGGTCCATGGACGCCGTCTAATGAATGCCGGGGGTCCATGGCGAACCTACCAAACATAATGCATTAATATAAAAATTGGTAAACAATATGTTGTGAGTAAATGGATACTGTACGCGAGTCTTTTCGGAAAGGCCCTGGGTGTTTTCAAATTTTGAGAGAGGTCCATGACTAGAAAAACGTTGTGAAACCCTACAGTGGAATGTAAAAGTACGGTTTACAGAATACACTGCGATCTACCGATTTTATTCGAGTTGAATAATAACCTCGGTACAGAGTACTAAAAAAACTGACCTGAAAAGTCATTCATCCAATAGTTTCCCAAGAGTCGTCAAAAATTTAATAGCTGCAAAGCTCCTTGTGAAGTTCGTCCCAGAAGTACTGCCACCTTACCTATTTCTGCCGTCAAGCATTAATGTGAGCGTTCCGGTTTTGAAGGGGTGCTGCTGAAATTACAGACACATGCGACTTGGCAACTTATGTCTCAGGGTGACAGGCGCCGTGGCAGTGCCCCTCAGATCTTTACGATTTAAAGCTCCAAGTGGCACTGCAATAGTTATGGACAGGCGTGTCGCTTAACACCAGGCGCATGACTTGTTCGTCCTGTCACTTGATATTATAAAAAAAACAAAATTTATACGAATTTTCAAAGTCGTAGAACTTAAATTGTTTGCTACAGGTGCAGTATTATCCTTTTCAATCAGACTATTATACCTGCGTAGGCGTAGTTCAATGTAATGTGCGTATTTAACGAATACGAACATATGTGTGCCAATCATTTATACCTACAAAACAACATGTAGTTTTGTATCTTTTATTTCTATATTAGCTGCCAAGTCCATTATGACCGCGAAAATTATGCTAAATGGGTATTGTTCTCTGTACAGAAAAGATAAACACGTTCAGCTATAAGTCCACAGCTGTTTTATACGAATGGTACCAAACTACCTTATATATTTAGACATGAAATATCATTTTGAATTTTAGTATTAATTATAGCAGTTTTAACGCCTAATTATTATCTAGTCTTTATTCTATTCTATTCTATTCTTCACGAATGTCGAATTATTACTGGCTGTTTGAAAACAACGCCTGTCGGCATGCTGTATCCGTTGGCTGGTGTTGCCTCCGGACATCTGTAGATACGTAGCTAGCTCCATGAAACACTTAAAAAAAAGAGACACCCATTACACCATCACGTGCCGGTAATCCAGAGGCTAAAGAATCGCTATACCTTCATTAAAGAAGTATACCTGAGAGGACGGGGAGTTTAAGCTGACACGAATAAGTCTCTGGAAGGAGAGATACCCCATGGCATCACTCATCCCGCTGTCGCAATACCTCCCACCTGGGCATGATCTACCTTGGCAAATTTGGAAGTCCCTGAATAGGCTGCCCAAGTCGGCCGAAGCAAGGAGTGCATGCACGGGTAGTGTCTCTACCCAGACAATGGCACATCTTTTGCCCTGCCCTGCGTGTCCCTACACCTGCACACGCGAAGACCTGTACAACGCCACTGATAATGCTATCTCAGTCGCTAAGTACTGGTCCTCACAAATATAAACGTCAGAGTCGACACGCCAAGAAGAAGATCTAGTCTTTATTTAGTATGAATAAACAGACACTAAACTCAATAATATTTCATGAAATTACAATATACATTGTTATAATTATTATTTAGCAATTATAGAGATTTGATTATTATTTACACGGTACTTCGGAAGGTACAATTTCCCAGTTATTGTTACTGTTTATAAATACATCCCAACAATGTTCTATTTGTATTGAATTTTTAGTTTCTACTACAATCAGCAGCAGAGTTCAATGTACTTTGAGAACTACGATATCAATTGTATTCACAGGCTCAATTGACGTGTGTGAATGTTACTTAGGGGCTTTGGTTTCGGAAAATAAATAAGTAACATATTTGGAGTGGTCAAAGGTGCTCTGCCTGGGTTTCTTTTCAACATTTAAATAATTCAAAAACCATTTAAACCATATATTTATCACACATAACAATAGAAAATAAAACATATTACAAAACAGCAACAGTGCGTGGAAGGAACAGACTTAGTTTAGTTTCTCGTGGCTGTGTACCATGCGATACTGATTTTCAACCTGGCTTGGTTGACTTATTTGTTATTCTCTTTTCTCTTCTTAATCACTTCCTCACTGCTGAGGATCGTGACTCCACTTCATCCTGCCAATTATCTGTCTTCATCGTTTTCGCTCAGAAGCCTGATGGAGTACGGCGCTGACAGGTAACTCCATTTGTTCGGAAATCTGACCCGAACACCGTTTAGGACTTCCTGCCTCAATGTCTTTCCTTCCACCTTCGCAGTCACAATCAAACGCTCAAGCTATCAGCTTCTCTACGTGCATCATGACTAAAATAGCCTATCACATTAAAGACAGACGATGTGTATTCTCTATCTTGAGTTCCTCAAGTATAGAGACATTGGTGCGGCGAGTTCTCCACGGTATTCTTGTCTCCATATCTGTTCAGTTGAGTCATTGCTGTCTTTACATACCCAATTCGGTTTCGTATTTCTAGTCCACTGGTTATCATCTTTGGCCCACGTATAGAAATTGATCCACGGTGTCGTATCTTGCAGGAGGTTTTAGGTTTTGTTTTTCTGAACACAATCCAATTT